CTCCTCCTCCTCCCCCTCTTCCTGTCAGGCCCCCCCCCCCCATGGGACGGCGAAAAGGGAGGGAGAGGAAGGGGGAGCACCGAGAGAGGGAAAGGGGGGGGCGCGCCGGGGCCGCGAGGACGAGGGCGGCGCCCTGCCCCTCCTCGCGGATGGGCGCGCCCCGCAGGGGCTGGTCGACGGTGATGGCGTAGGACAGGCAGCCAACGATCTGGCGCGAAGTCGGACGGGCGGCGGCGCTCGCGCGGCGGCGCCCCGCCGACCCGACGGCCGCAGCGGCCGCCAGTCCCGCCAAGACCCCGCGTCGGGCACCGAGGGGGGACAGGGGGGGAGGAGGCCCACGCCCACGCCCACACCAATGCCCACGCCCCGCGCCCACGCCCACGCCCACGCCCAAGACCACGACCACGTCCGTGCCCACGCCCACGCCCAAGCCCGCGCCCGCGCCCGCGCATGGGGGGGGGACAACAGCAGGAGGAGAAGAGGGTCAGGACGAGGGGGGGGGGGGAATAAGGAGGGGAGGATATTGGGAGGAGGACGAGGAGGAGGAGGAGGAGGAGGAGGAGGAGGAGGAGGAGGAGGAGGAGGAGGAGGAGGAGGAGGAAGAGGAAGAGGAAGAGGAGGATCGTGCGGCCGAGAGCGTAAGACCCTCCAATAGGGAACGCCCGCACGGAGTGGGGGGCACGAGGAAGAGCGGCGACGATGGCCGAGAAGGTCGGCATGCCTCCCTGGGTAACTCTGAAAGGCCTGCCATCCCCTAAAGGTATATGCCTTGAGTGAGGCCCATCGGCAGAGACTGGAGAGACTTGCGTGGAAGCCGCCCTTGCGGCCAAGCCGAGTCCAAATACGCAAAACATCTTCCAAATTGACCCTGCACCCCCCCCTCGCGCCAGCCCCGAGCGCTGGCTGGCAGAGCATGGCGGGCAGGGGGGGTAAAGTGGAGGCTCCCAGCCCTAACACTTGATCCGAGATTTCAGCAGATACAAACTGGTGCACTCACTGGCGCTTTGGGCATAGGTGACAACGTTGACTGACACATCCGCCTGCGCATCCCACAACGGAGCAGGAACAGGGGCCCGGTGTGCATTTTGCTCACACAGAGCAAAACAGGGGTGGGCTTGCTCAACCCAGGTGGTGGGCGAACTGGCCTCCTGGCACTGTCTCCCAACGCCGACTGAAACGAAGGAAGGCACGCCACTCGTCCGGCGTGGTCGGCCCAGATCCGTTCATTCGTTGGCCCTACCTCGGCTTGGAAACTTATGTCGACCATGGCCGCCCAAACAAATGAGCAGCGCATCGAAAAATCAGGCCCCACTTCCGTCTAAAGTCCGCTGGCGCCCTATCATAAGCATGACGAGAGCGGCTTGGTCGGCCAGGCCCGTGTAAGCGCGACAATGCGCCCACCTGGCGCGCAACTCAGCGGGGAGCCGCACCATGCAGAAGTGCGCACGCCTCAACGCCTCGAGCGCGCGGTGCTTGACCTGGCAAGTTCTGTGCGCGACTGCTACCGGACTGATATAAGAATGCTGCAATTCGTAAGCTAGTGGCCGGTTGCCAACTGGCGATGCGCAGTGCACGATGTGGACACGGGTCGCCATGCACCCAGGCTGGTCGTCTTCGTGTCGAACGTCAGAGAAGGCAGGGAGACTTCCGCTGCAATCTAGCTCTAGTCAGCGCCGAGACGCCATGCAACCCCGACGAGCCTACCTTTGGGACGGACCAGCGATACACCTTCGCTTTGTCCTCATCGGCACATCGGCCATGCAAACACGTGCGCGCATTCAATGGCAACGAGGTTGGATATGCTGAAACAGCTGGTTCAACGGCTAAGTCCAGCGTAGATGCCTTACGGCATCAGGACCCCGGGGCACAGAGAGGTCGCAGCACTCGCGCACACCCTTGGGCCCGCGCCCCAGAACTGCCGAACTCCGTTCTGGCGTCGCGGCAGCCCGGCCTGTCTGCAATTTGAACAGATGTGTGCATATGTAGACATATACAAGTACAAGCATACATAAACATAGATGCGCCCGAACAAAAAAGACGCTCGCACCAAGGATAGCACAACTCTTGAATTCATTTCTGAAAAGCTTAGAAAGTGTGCCACCAATCTGAGCAGTCCGTCAAGGGACTCCGCTCACGGACCGTTCTCGCCAGCCGAGGGCCGCCGCCGCGGGGTGCCGGAGCTGCGGCGCCCAGGTGGCAGCGCCGCCCGCGCCCCCGGGCACGGCCTGCCGCGGCGGCTGGCCGAGCCGCGAAAGAGGGCCGCGCGGCGACGCGCAGCGGGGCCCCCCTCGCCGTCGGGCTGGGTATTGCTCGCCATCGCCCTCGCTCGGACGTCTCGATGTCGCGCGTGTGATTTCGCTCCTCGGTGGCCCGACGTGAGAGCGTGTTCTTCTTCGGCGTTTTGGAATTTGGCGGAAGGGGAAGGGGGGGAGGGGCGGGGGGGTCTGGCTCTGGACCTCTGCTTCATGCCACTGTTTGCAGCAGTGTGTCCCGCGGAGAGACCCCGCCCGCCCGAAACAGGCACCAACAAACAGCCAAGAGGTACTCCGGGGGGAAAGGGGGGGGAGGGGGGGGCGAGGGCCCGCGCCGATCGGCAAAAGACTGCATAAGAAACCATCACCATTAGGGGAGCAAAAAGTGACATAAACATAAAAACTCGGATGTCCGCGCGAATTTCTCGGATCGGCGCTGGGGCCCCCCGGCGGCGCCTCCGGCGCCGCCCCTGGCGCGCTCCGCGCGCCAGGGAGGAGGTCCAGCGCCGATCCGAGAAATCCGCGCGGACCTCCGAGCGTTCTGTTTCTGTGACTTCTCTGTTGCCCCACCATGCTCCTCGAGGGCCCTCGCCGAGGAGAAAAGACGCACACGTCCGAGCGGCGCCGGGCGCCAGGCCTCGGGCGAGACGCGCCGGCAGGGCTGCCCAGAGCGGCGGCCGCCTGGACCTGCGGGCGGCGTGCCGTGCCGGCGCGCGCCGTGCGAGAGCGCGCCGAGGTGTTCGGAGCGGCCGCGCAGCGGGGCGAGGAGGAGGAGGAGGAGGAAGAGGAGGAGGAGGAAGAGGAGGAGGAGGAGGAGGAGGAGGGAGGGAGGGAGGGAGGGAGGGAGGGAGGGAGGGAGGGAGGTGGCGGTGGTGCACGTTGGCTCAAGCGTCACAGCTGTGCTCATGCTACCTCTGAAACAAAACAAGACAATCAAAACTTGAATTCAACCTGACCTCGCCACGGCGCAATGCGCTGTAAACGCCGTTCTCGAGCGATGGCACGATCGGCTGCAATGCGCGCCAGTTGCCCCTCGGAGAGGGCGGGAGGCGGAGGAGGAGGGGGGACCACGGACAAGAGGGGGCGGGCCTCCTCGGCGCCCTGGGCGGCGCCGGCAGCCATCTGCCTGGCCTGCTCCGCGGGCGCTGCGGGCGCAGTCCCTCTCTGTCGGGAAAAGGCCGAAAAGCTCACCCGCGGCCACTTCTTCGGCCTCGCGGGGATCCCAAGGGGCCACGGCCTGACCGCCGCGCGAGGGAGGGGGCGACGGCGGCGGCGGCGACGACGGAGGCGAAGGCAGCGGCGGAGAAGGTGGAGGAGGAGGGCCACCGGAGAAAACTACCCACCTCTCAGGCTCATCAGATCTCATGGCCGATGTACGGCAAGCGTAATCTGGGGCAACCACGTGAGGCCTGATCGGGTCCCATGGAACGTGTAACTGTTGGAGCTGGTAGCGGATCTCCTCTGATTCACCATCGTCGTCCCATGGCTGTGACTCGCCAAAGATACGCGTGCAAGCATCCACGATGCCCCTCGCAAGCGCACGACACATGTTGCCAGGATATGTATTTTTCTGTGCTGTGCGGAACACCCCATCGTTGGTTTTCCCCTGTAGTACCAGGTGGGAATTCGGAGGGTGGGAACACCTCCCCTGCAGTGCAGCATAGATAATTGGCATGCGTATGGCAAGCACCCGTGTCGGTGCCTTCCCAAACGTGCTGGGGTCGCCCTCTCGAAAACAGCATTGGTCGAAGTCTACCGTGGTGGCGTATGGCGCTGAAGCGATGGCGCGCGCTGGCGGCCACATGAAGGAGGTAGGAGCGCCCTTTCTCCAGACAGCTGGCGTGGGATGCTCCATCCATGCTGCCGTGCCCGCTCTAAGATGGCCCCCATGAGGTGTAGCATAGCATGTAATAGCTGGCTCCCGACACAAAGTTGCTGATGCTGCCGAGGTGTCGCCCAAGGCACGCCCCACATGTATTCAGTCGTCCGTAGTGGGGGGGGGCCCTTCCAACCAACGAGCTGCACTCCATGTCTCGCATGGAGGGCCCCCCCCCCCCCCCCCCAGAACACCACACTCTCCTAGCGAGTATGTGGTCGACCCATTGTTGGATTGTATCAGCCCGGGCCAGATCTCCATGAGTAGAGTGGATTGCGATGTCCACACTTAGCACCACAAACTCAAAGCTCGCTGTAACCAAGGTATCTTCTATGCGAAATTGAACGTCACCCTCCCTGCGCATACCCGAAAATACATCCAATATGAAAACCGATTTACGTCTAATCCTGATCGGGAGAGATTGGGCAGCTATGTCCGTGTAATCTTGAACTCGGTAGATGTCCCACCGATCCAGGAAGGGGTACTCTTGCGGAGGAGCCTGTTGAGGGGCCTCAAGGGTAGGATTCAAGATGAACTGCCTGTAAGAGTCATCTAGCTCGTACATGGAATCTAGGAGAACCTCACGAGCCTGATGTTCAGTAAAGGAAATGAATACCCAGTTAGAGTCCCAGATGAGGCCCTCTGGAGGTACATGTGGGGCAGCAGGAAAGTCTGCGCGCCATCTGCCGAGCCCTGCACGTCTTTTTCGGACCACCTCAGCTGCGTCCTCTGCCGCCCAAGCACGTGCGAGTGCGATGGGCGCGCGTGCACCATGCAAGAAGTAAGCAAGACAGCACCTGGCGGAGTCAAATGCCAGGTGATATCGCACCTGTCGCCTCTGCGAATACTCTGTGGCACGCGCTCTGCAAGTACTGGAAGGACCCATGATGGCTTCAACATGATGAATGAAAGCAAAGTGCTGGCGAACAATATGCTGCTGGAGGCCTCTACGCTTGGGGAACCTCTGAGAGCACCAAGGGCACTGGTTAAGCCTGTCAACTTGACTCCTCTCCTCCTCCCCCTGCTTACGTAGTGGGTGGTCGGGGTGGGTGATGGGAAGTGGTACGCCACACGGTCGGA